CCCTCCTCTGGGGCTCCATCTATGACTTGATTCATCCCCATCCCTCCAGTCCATTCACCCTTCCCCTGCACAACTCACACCCTCCCTCCCTTCCCTTGGGGAGGTGACCGTTTCACACCTAGCGCTTCACACAAGGGACCCAGGCGCGCCACGGAAAGGGCTCCCAGCTGTGGCCTGAAGAGGAGTCCTCTTCCTCCTGCTTTGAGCACCTTTGTGGGGCAAACTGGTGAGAGGGTGAAAAAGGAGACAGGGAAAACGAAGACCATGCCCTCTGCCTTAAAAGCCCTCTCCTTCGTTCTTTCTTTCTTTTTTCTCTCTTGCGGAAAGACTTCTAAATCTTTATCGGTGACCAAATGAAGAAAACCAGTACATACTACTGTATATCAGGAATGAAAGACCAACTAATGTAAACAGCAAAAGGCAAGAGAGAGCTGAGATGAGAATCCACCCGGGCTACCTAATCCAGATTAAAACATGGAGGTCTGGCTCCTCTACACCTAGAGAGGGCGTCAGATGCCGAAGGGCAAGGAGACCATAGGAAAGGCAACAAATTTCACCCCTTGCTTGTAGAGATCCAGCTATGCAGTTGGTACACCCCTTCCCAGTAAGTGCCTCTTTGGCCCAAGAGGTGGAAAATTGCTTTACTCTGCACACCAGGCTGCCAAGTGGTTGAGGTTTAGGTCACAAAGAGCCCCATGTAGCATGTCACTCGTTACGAGGATTAAGAAGTCATTACACGGAATAAATACCACCATAAGGCAAAATACCACTGTTTTTAAACGGTAGGCTGGAACATCATGAAACAAACAAACAAACAAAAAAACACAAAACCTTGAGTGATTTTGGGGGGATGACAGAAAAGGAAAAAGGGTGAGGTGAAAGGGTGAGGTATTTTTTTAAAGGGAAGAAAATTAAGATCAATGCAAATACTTTACCAGAAGTCTACGCCTTTCAGAATTTCAAACAATCCCAGGAGTTCCAAAGCCAGCAGAAGACGCAGCAGTGATGGAAAGATGCTAGATGCACTTTGGTACCCAACGCCACCTTCTGAAGTTCTTAATTGGGTCAAAAGCCAGGATTCCAGACAGAGGAAACAAAAGGCAGCAAGGTAGTGGGGAAATCTCGGTTCTCCACAATCCAGCGGGAAGCCAGGATTCCCAGGGAATGCTGCAGCCAGGGAGGCGGATTTGCATAGAACCCTCTTAAAATCCGGAGAATTTCAAGAACGGTCAGGTATTCCAAGAATTCACGTGCCCAAGTCAGGAAAAAAGAGAGTGGTTAATTAAAAAGGAAGAGGGGTGGAAAATCAACGGTGGAGTGCTCCAAGATGCCAGGCGTCCTCCGAGGCTGAACCAAGAAGATCAGAAGAACCGATGGGTGAACGTATGATATGTATCCCAATAAACCGGCGAGAATCGAAACTCCCGAGGATTGGAAGGGTCTGAAATCCAGAGAGAGAGAGAGAGAGGGTAGCGAAGGCAAACCCCAGGCGCCGGAGATATCAAAAGCCTCCCTTTCTCTGCAACTTCCAGCGGGGAAACGCTCCTGACCGCCTTCAAAGCCAAGAGCAGGAGCCGAGAACGGCAGAGGAAGAAGGGCTGTACACACACACACACAAAAACACACACACAAAAAAACCCGAGACACCAGCTCGGGAAGCAACGCCTTTTTAGGATTCCCCCCTCCCTCCCCCCCCAAAAAAAAGGCCCGCTAGGAAATCCCCCGATCTTTCAGGATCAGGAAGGAAAGAAAGAAGAAAGAAGGGGACCTTACTCCACTTTTCACGCCAGCTTGGTGTCGGCGATGACCGGCAGGCGGCAAGGGGCTAAAAAACCCTTCCCTCGGCCCATGTTTGCAGGAAGCGTGGTCGGCCGGCTGAAGCTGGCCCCGGCTCGGTCACGTTTGCCCGGGGAAGCGGACGGGCGGGGGTGGGGGGAGATTCCAGCAAGCCTCGGCGATCGCGGCTCCTTCCTCTCTCGATCCCCGAGCCAAGAGGGAAGGGAGGGGATCCAGGCGGCGGATCTGAGTCAGGGGTGGGTTACGCGGCGCGCGTGTGTCGGTGGGATCAGGCTGGATGGCGGAAAAAAAGGGGGTTTGGCTATTCCGTATATCCCTCTGGTTCGTCTTTTTCAATCCTTCTCGCTTCGTCCGCTGCTTCTTGTTCTCCCACCCCCACCCCCGAGAAGTTTTCGCGGGTTTGAAGCCAAGGAGGGAGGATGAGAAGCGGAGGGAGAGAGAAAAAAATCTGGATCAGTCCCTTAACACATCCGCTTCTTTTAATCCTCTGCCGAGCTCCACCTCCGCCCCATTGCTCAAATCCTTTAACCCAGGAAAGGAGCGGCGCGGGGGGGGGGGGGAACAAAGAAA